ATGAATATTGGTGGATTATTACCTTTTATGGATGATTAAATGTATATTCTTTTTACTAAAGAATATTGGTGGATTTATATTTATTACAAAGGATATTTTGAGAAAATGTGACAAGAATGATTTGGGGAAAACTTAAAGTTTTCATAATATATATTCTTACGTCTCGAGAGAAACATGAGGCGTGGGTGGTTAGGGCTACTACTACTTTTGGTGAAATTTATTTGGGTCGATAACCAGTCCGGCAATGACATACTCCGGTAGACATCCCGGGCTTTTATTTGAGGATCAAAGATCCTTTGGTGGTCGTAGTAGTAGTTACCTAATTTACCCTTGGACAATGTCCCTTGTGAGTAGGTGGTAGAAAACATCCCGCCTACTTGGGTTTCTTACTACTCGGAGGGCTTGGAATCCCTTTTAGAGGGTGTGCACACTTAAGGTAGAAATTCAGCTTCCAATTGGTGGTCGGTGGGAGCCGGAATTCCGGGATGAGTCGTAGATAACAACGACTCATTGGGCTCGAGGAATCTTGAGTTTCGCCCACTCTTAAAAGAATCTAAAGTATTACTTTTGGAAGAATTGAAGGATGATCTTATCTATTGTGGAAATTATTTTATGACATTAAACCATTTTGAAAATATGAGAGACTACTTTTCAATATATATACATATACAAAAACCTATTTTCCAAATTATATTATTTTACGGGTTCGGGTGGAATCTTACTTAGCTCTAAAGCTAATTTTTGTCTCTTTTCTCTTTTTCTCTTTGCTCTATTGTACAGATGATTATGATTATGAAGATTGATGTACTTGCTGCCCGAGTGTTCCGCTAGTTGCACACGTTTGATTAATTATTGTTGTTTAAATTTGTAATCCATAAACTTTGTTTATGTTTTATCTGATGACTACTTGAATTAATGGTGGATAGCCTGTGCACTCAATCATGTATAGGTTGAGTGTGGCGGTGACACACCTGTTTTTCCATCAAAGACTTCCGCTGTACTCTAAATATGTTTTATAATAAAGATATTTTCATTTCAAAATGTTATTTTATTTTGGTGGGAAAAATGGGGGTGTTACAAAAGGATATACCCGACTGGGTATGGGTAAATACCTGACAAGGTTCTAACTAAAAATAGCCCTAGGTGCTACTGTCTCACCATACCCGAATGGGTATGGATGGGTACCCGATTGGATATTGGGTTATACCCCTAATGAGCAGTTTTTGAGTAGGTTAACGTGGGCTGTTCGGGTGGGACCCGTCCACGCCAGTTACTAAAGATTATTATATGACTATAGGGCTAGGTACTGTCCATAGTTGAAGGAATGAAATGTGAGACATATTCGGGTTAGGATTTGGTAGGAATAAGGTTGGGTAGGGTATCCTTGGACGGTAAATGATCATAAATACTCCAGGTTGGAGTTGAGTACCATTGGACAGTAAATAATCCTAAATACTCCAGGTTAGGCTTGAGTACCCTTGGGCGGTAAATGATCCTAAATACTCCATGTTGGGATTGAGTACCCTTGGACGGTAAATGATCCTAAAAAACTCGGTATTATATTACAAATGTAGGATGTAGCTTGTGAGCTAAACATTCGGACAAGAATGAGAAAGTTCGGGTAAGGACTTTGTCTCTAAAAGACTCTTTTAATGAAAATGACTCACGGGTTGAGTATTTTACAAGTATATACAATATGTATCACCTTGTGAAGGGGGCAATGGTGGTTACATCTATAAATATAGGTATCACCCTATTTTTGGGTCTTGTATCTGAAACATTAGTTATTCCTCATATAGCCTACTTGTCACTAGTACTTCTTTCTATGGAGTATTGAGCCCTTCGGGGGCCTCACTATTTTTCAGGTTAAGACTAGAGTCCTACTACCTGCACCTTTGCCTAGGGTGATTCATCAATAAGGAAGACTTGGTTCGTGTTTCCATTCTTATTTGAAATTATGGAATTGCTCATGGATATTTAAACAATGTTTTCTATTATACACTTCGGGGCCTGCGTGCTCATGTTTGCCCCGTGTGGCTAAATATCAAACATATTACTATTTTCGCATTTTGTTTGATTATGATAATGATGTTGATTGTATGTGTTTACTAATCGGTTTGGCAATAGATCTATTAGACGCCTTGTATAATTCAATAGTGATGGACTATTGTTGTTGCTATTGGGTTGTACGGCGGTTTTCTATGTGACACGGATGCAGTCTGGGGCGTGACATGATGATTATATTTGGGGTTTTCCCAACACTTTTTGTATTTAGTTAGATCTGCATTATCTCATTTTTGTTAGGAGACCTTCCAGACAATACGGAAACAGGAAGGATGTAATGACACTGCGATAGTGCTAATATTGAAGAAAGAGAAGTCTAAGCTAGTATTTGGGTGGCTGGAGACCTATATAATTTTGTAATGTAGCATACAAGATCTTCACTAGAGGTGCTTCTATTATCACTCAGCTGCTATTTACGCATATAACTTTTATTTTTACAGCTCAGGAATAGGAATGTCTTGTGTCGCGCAAAATAATACTTATCAAGTACGCCACAATTTCTGGCCAGCTTGTTAATTTTGATGGCAGAAGGTTGTTATATACTTTGATGCATAATCAACACGAGTAACAATGACTCCTGGAGGATATTCTTATGAAGCGGCTTTGGCTGACAATATTAGACACATGATGATGATCGCTAATATTTTTGTCCTATATATGCGATGATCAGCGAATAAAGTTACTAATGATTTAGTTACGTAAGCAATTCTAGATTCTTCTTGGCATGATATTCCACTTTTATGTAATTAGGGACCTCTCATGAAAGATTACTATGATTTATAAATTAATAAAGATGTTATTTAAAAAAGCCGTGTTAGTCACATTTAAAGTAGTTACATTTTTAATATTAACTTTCAATTTAGTAATATTTAAAGAAGTCTTTCATCATTAATGTCATGATGTTATGCTTTTTTTTTTGAACGAGATGTTATGCTTAATAAACCGTAGACTTTTCAGACATTTCAAAGTTTTCTTACATTCAAAAGTCAACATTGCATAATCAACCTTCATATGGGATTACATTTACTTCTCATCATTGGAGGACCTGGGGGATTGGGGGACAAGTGCTTTTGACCTCAAAATCTAGTTTTAGTACTTAAGATAAAAATTGTGTCCCCTAAACAAAAAAGTATTAGATATAGAGATAATATCATCGAAGAGTATATAAATTATAATAAAAAATGTAAACGACAGACAAGTTGTGATAGAGCGGTTCTATGCCGTTAGACATGCATGTTGACATGATCACTAAACTTTCTTTTAAGTGGATGATTTTATGGCTAAGTATGAATAATGTTGGTGTAAAGTCAAAAGAGGTTTAAGATGTGACAAAACTTCTAATATATGAGATTAATTTAATAGATGGAAAACTGTTTTCTAGAAATATATATATATATATATATATATATACACATGAAAAAATTTGTCAATTCGTGATAGATCGAGAGACCTTAATTTTGATTTTTGTACTACAATATGTTAAAAGTAAGATATATAAAATCATATTATTAAATAAAATTGTATTGAAGGATGGAATAATAAAGTTAAATTATACCTAGTATATCATTTTTTAACACGGTAATATAATGATAGATTTCCATCATTTGCAATGGAGCCAAAGATTCATTATTTTTTGGCTTGAGAATATGATGGAATAAAGCAAAATGACTCACTAAACTGTCTGCGCTTCTTTGTTATGAAGCAACAGTCAGTCCATGCAATTTTGGACGCGATTTTCACTATGGGTCATCCGGAAACAGTGTTTGTGCTTTAGTAAGGTAATGCTGCGTACATCCGACCCCCCTACCCCACCATAGGTGGGAGCTTTTGCGGCACTGGGGTATATGAAAATGAATGATGAATGAATGGTAATATAATGATAGAATGGTCTTAATGGGTTCAAAATTAGACCTATTATCTATATATGTACATCGCTTGAAATCAACATGTAATAATCTATTTCTAGTTAAAATTTATAATCTAAACATTTTAGACAAATTAGAACAGTGTATAGGCGGAGCTAGGATAATGGGCTGGTAAAAAAATATTTTTGAAAAAAATTTACACAGATTTTTTTATCTTAACAATTAAAACATTTTGGAATTTAGGGTGGACCACGGCTTAGGTCGGCCCTCCTCTAAATCCGCCCATGGACCAGTGATGCACCCGATCCAACAAACTCAATCCCATCCCTCCTCCAAATCCGCCCATGGCCCTCCTTTAAAAAACGTTTGGATCTGTTTCACTGCTTCTCATGGTGGCTGGTATGGCTGGTTTTAACTTACGAGTAATTAAACTTCTACAAGTTTTTAACCCAAACACATTCATAGTGACACAAAGGTCACCACCGTATGACGGGAAGTACAGTCTGTACAGGCCATCAACAATGAACAAATCATGCTCAGATAAAAAATCTAATGTCACCTACAAGAAATATATGTCACAAATATATTTCCATACTTATCACATACACAAACTAATACTAGTATTTGTGAGTAGGCATGGACCGGTTCCGGTCTAACCGACCCGGCGAACCGGTCCAGCAACCGGGCCTAGGACCGGCCCAGGGTGTTAGGGCGGGGCGGTTCCGGGCTTGCCCTTCCTTTGGTACCGGCCCGGCCTGGCCGGTCTCAGTCCAGGCCTATAATTTTTTGTTTTTTCATTATTTTTGGTTGTAGGCGGGTTGGGTTGGGTGTTTTGGGGGTGAGGTGGGGGGGGGGGGTTGGGGGTGAGGTGGGGGGGGGGGGGTTGGAGGTTAATTAGAAAAGCCAAAAAAATAATAATAAGAACCGACCCGAGACCGGCCCGGACCCGGTGGAATCCCGGGCCGGTTCCGGGCCTTCACCCAACAATAAAAAGCCCGGTTTGGTCCGGCCCGGAACCGGTCCATGCCTATTTGTGAGTGCTGCCCAAATCAATGTCAGGCAAATATTAAAGGTGTGAAAAGTATTAATATTTTTAGATAAAAAAATTGCTAACATAATAGATTAATAGACTTGATGTATGAATGAGTTTGACACAGAATTATTGTCTCTAGCTCTGAGAGTGACTACAAACTTAATTCCTTCAATAAGGATAATTAACTTCTGCAAGCAAAGGCTCATTTGAAAAGAATGAATCAATGTTGGTGGCAACCAACATTTGTAGTGAACTCATGGCCTCTTGAGTTGCAAAGGACGCATGGGAAGACAACACAACGTTGTCCAATCGGAATAGCTCCTTCGGCACATTTGGTTCATTTTCATAAACATCGAGACCCGCTCCTCCAAGCTCACCTCTCACCAAGAAACTGACCATTTCTGTTTCATCTATGAGCCCCCCACGGCCGACATTTATGATAACGCCATTCTTTCCGAGGGCCAACATCACCTTCTTATCAATAATGTGCCTGGTTTCATGAGTTAAGGTACAACATGGGATCAAGACATCACATTCTGCAGCAAGATCACTTGTGTTCTCATAGAAGGAATAGGGCACATTTGGTTTGATACTCTTGGAGGTGTAGGCAATGGTGCATCCCATGGCATGGAGTCGTTTACTCACCCTTAAGCCAATGCTTCCTAGACCGACTATCCCGACTCTCTTCCCACCTACCTGTGTAAATTAAATACAGAGTAGCAAACTAATAAAGGAGTGTTTGGGTTTGCTTAAAAAAAGTACTTTTCAGCTTTTGGCTTAAAAAAAGTTGAAAAGAGTGTTTTCAAATGACAGCTTCTGCTTAAATTAATCACTTAAAAGCTAAAAGTTGGAAGCAGGTAGAAGGATGCTTTAAACTGCTTCTCACTTTTTCTATTACACAAAAAGTACTTATTTTACCAAACACTATCAACTTTTACTTTTCCAGAATCACTTTTTTCTCAAACACTACCAACTTTTACTATTAATCACTTTTCCCAAAATCACTTTAAAAAATCACTTTTTTAAAGTTGAAGCAATTGCAAACACTCCATATGTACCAAGTACATACTTCACCATCTCATATATAACAAACGTCTAGTCGGTTCTTGAAGGCCCCGAGAGAAGGGATTCATCATTTTTTTGAGGAACAAGATTCATCATTTTTCAGACGGTGTCAGTTTTAGTGAGAAAATCCCCTAAACAAGACTAAAACATACTCCCTCCGTCCCTGAAAATACTTCCATTTCGCTTTTCAAGAGTTGACTTAAATCACTCTTAAACTCTTACTTTATATATCAAAACTTTATGAAAATTGATTTTTTGCAGGTTTTGTAGCGGTTTTAATGTAATTTCTGAATATGTAAATTTTATTTACTAATAATAATCTGAGTTTTCACAGGGATCATTTAACTTTATCGTTGGTCAAACTTCGTAACTCGCAATTGGAAGTAAATTCAGGGACGGAGGGAGTATCAAAATTTCTAGAATAGGAGTAACATGATTTCTTCCAAAGTAGTAGAATATTTTACTCAAAAAATATTAAAAATGTGGCAGAGTTTATTAAAAATGACTTTGACTCAAAAAGTACTAAAACAGGCCACTAATCATTAATTTTAACTTTTACGGAGTACTTTTTTAACATTTATTCTTTTAAAATCTATTGTCTCTTTAATCACTCTTTGAAAAATCTCTTTTCATAAGGGCGAAAGCCTATGTTCCGTAGGACAATTAGATTGGAGGATGCAAGTTAGACAAGGTGAGAGAGTTCTTATAATAATCTAAAGTAAATCGAAGTAGCAAAATGCAAACATTAGCTGAGCTTATAATACTCCGTAACTTACGAATGTAGCTCAGAGAAGATACAAAGGTAAATGTGTTCACCTTAGAACTAAGCGGAAAATTTCTTTCCGCACGCCAAGACCCGGACCGGATAAAGCTATCGGCCACAGTGATCCGACGCAGGACATCAATCAAGAGCCCAACGGCAAAATCCGCAACGTCATCGGAGTACGTGTCTCCGGCGCCGGTGACGCGAATGCCTCGGCGGCGGCACTCGGAGACGTCGATGTGGTCGTAACCGGCAGTGGAGCCGACGATGCACTCCAGCGCAGGATACCGATCCAAGGTGTCAGATGTAACCGGAGAGAGCCCGACGCAGAGCATGACCCGAGCTGATTTTGAGAGGGCCGTGTACGACGGGTCGGATTCGTTTAGCGGGTCGAGAATACGGTATCGGGTTTGAAGAAATGGGAATGAGAGGTTGTAGTGGGGCAAACGGTGGATGAGAAGTAGAGGCCGGAGCTCGTTTGCCGGCGGTTCTTGTGTGGTGGCGGCCATTCCTGTAGGCTGTAGCGTCCCAATCAATCAGACCGAAGTGTCCATTGGAGGGTAGGGGTGACACCAAATTGGAATGAGAAAAGGAAGAGAGCCCATCATCCCTCACACCAATCATGTAATTTGGACTGTCCTCATAAATGGGGGGAATGATTGAGTTGCTTGCCAAATTTTTTTTTTTTTTTTTTTTAGAAATTACTTCAAATAGGACTAAAACTATGACAAAAACTCAAAATAGGACTTGCTATGTTTTTTTTTCAAAATAGGACCATAGTGGTCCTATTGGAAACATACTCATTTCTTCCTTCCATTCTTACCCCTCCTTTAAATATTAGTAAAAGATAGCTAAAAGTCATAAATAAATGTTTAATTCATAATAAATTCGAAAAAATTTCAATAATTCCTAGAAAAATAATAAAAAAATTAATAAAATTTTTATAAAATAAAAAATAAGAATTTTTTTTTAATTTTTTTTTTAAAAAAATTAATAAAAAATAGTAAAACTCCATAAAAAAAATTAAAAAAAATATGGATACGTTTCCCACCGCCTGTACTACCTCCCTAAACCATCACCTCCGATCGGTGTAAAAAATGCCACTTTTTTTTTTAAATTCCACAAAAATGGCATATTTCTCTATGAGAATGCCAACATTTTCATTCTGCCAACTTGAATCCTTTTGACTTTTGCCAAAAATATGGCATTCATAATTTTTTTTGGCATTTTTTTACCCCGGTGACAGGAGGTGGTGGTACCGCCTCCCTGCACCACCACCTCCGACCGTTAAAAAAAATGTCATATTTCCTACAAACTTCCATTTTTTTCGGAAAATGCCAAAAATATGGCATATTTCTCTTTGAGAATGCCAACATTTTTTTTCTTCCATCTTAAATCATTCTGAATTATGCCAAAAATATGGAATTCATAATAAATTTGGCATTTTTTCCCCAAATGACTAGAGGTGGTGGTGCTGGGGCGGTATAGGCGGCGGTGACAAAAAAAATATTTTTTTGATTTTTTTTTAATTTTTTTTTTATTTTTTATTTTTTTTTAATTTTTTTTTAAATTTATTATTATTCAGAATATTTTTATTAATTTTTTGGTATATTTTACGAATTTTTATTATTTTTTATTATTTTATTATGAATTAAAACATTCCAATAGGTATAAGGGTATATTTGTCCAAGACAAACATAATTAGTCCTATGGAAACATAGTTTATTTTTTGGTCCTATTTGTGCAAAGTGAATGACTTTTAGTCCTATTTTGATAATTAACTCTTTTTTTTTTTGCAAAAAGTTACTCCGTATTTTTTAAAGATAGTAAAAATTAGTAGTGTTTAGTAAAATAAGTGTTTTTTGTGTAATAGAAAGAGTAAAAACACTTTTCATACAAAAGCCGAGAAAAGTAAAAGTTGGTAGTGTTTGATAAAATAAGTGTTTTATAAGCCAAAAGCTGGAAAATACTTTTTTTCTAGAGTTTGCAAACAAAGCCTTAAGCTTTACAAAAATGCTTTATGCACTTTTACTTAATAATATTTTTCCAGTTTGTAAAAATTGTGTAGTTGAATTTTGTGTAAAAGAGTGAATTAACTTAAACCTTAAGTTCTTTACTTAAAAAAAAAAATTACAAATTTAGTAGGACATAAAAAAATGAAAGTTGGCAAGATTTAGGTTGGAGGGAGCATTGCATTCAATTCAAACTCAAAGCACTACTTCGTACAGAAAAGATGAGGTCCCTCCGGAGGGACGGGAGGGACCGTCCGAACTTTACTGTTTGGGGCGGTTCCCGATGAAATTTTTTGATGAAATTTTTTGAGCATGTTCCTCATCAAGTCTAGTTTGTCCCTACCAAATTTCAGCTCAAAATTCGACCGGGAAGGCAGTCAAATAAATTCTTGAAGCTTACTGCACATTCTGCGCATATATAAAGTGCGGTAAGTCCCTGGTAATTCCCCTTCCTTTATTTCCACTTTTATTTCTTGTCTTGGTCGCTGTTTTGCCATGAAGGATTTGGGGGATCTACATTTTTTCCTAGGTGTCCAGGCTATTCGGACGAATTCCGGTTTGTTTTTATCTCAGCAAAAATATGTGTCTGATCTATTAACCAGGTTCCATCTTCACACTCTTAAACCTGTTCGTACTCCACTTCCTACGCGGACTAAGTTATCTCTCACTGATGGAGACCTCCTTGCAGATCCTACTGAGTACAGAAGTATGGTAGGTGCTTTGCAGTATTTGACTATGACTCGACCTGATATTACATTTGCTGTTCACCTGGTCTCTCAGTTTATGCATGAACCCCGTATTACTCATTAATTAGCTGTCAAGCGTATTTTCAGGTATCTTCAGGGGTCAGCTGCTCACGGCCTGCTTCTTCAGTCTAGCACTTTTTCTCCGACTTTGCAGGCTTATTCTGATGCTGACTGGGCTGGGTGTCCTGACAGCAGTCGGTCCACTTCGGGATTTGTTGTTTTCTTCGGTCCAAATTTAATCTCATGGAAGTCCAAGAAGCAGTCCACTGTCTCCAGATCATCTACAGAGGCAGAATATAGAGCTATTGCATACACAGTTCAGGACACACTGCATATTCGATCCATCCTGTTCGAATTAGGCATCTCCATCCGAGAACCAGTCCAGTTATTATGTGACAATGTCTCAGCTTCATACTTGTCCACTAATCCCATTCAGCATGCCAGGAGCAAACACATCAGTATTGACTATCACTTTGTTCGAGAGAGAGTTTCACATGGAGACCTGATTGTTCGTTATGTCCCTACTCAGTTTCAGTTAGCAGATATTTTTACTAAATGTCTGTCACCACAGCGTTTTATTTTTCTTACGGACAATCTGCGCATTGTTTCCCCTGCACAGCTTGAGGGGGTGTAATAGAGTAATTAATACTCATTAATTATGTTTCCATCTTTATGTAGTTTCCTAATGTATTCAGGACATATTTTTATTATATATATGACACCTAGGGCTACCACATTGGTAAGCCTTCTCATTATTTTCACATATATATGCCCAAGCCCGCCCATTTGTGCGGGCCGGTTGGGCGGGCCGGGCGGGCCGGCCCGGTTTTGTACAGGTCTAATTCATTTGTGTAAAGTACGGTTTTCTTGTTAAACCTTTAATTCAAACACAAGTTACTCCTCAGTTAATTAATTGTGGACTTAACCCCATGTATTGTATCAGGTCCCTCGTCTTAATACAAAGAGCACAATTATGTCATGGTCTTTGTTACATGCATAATGGATTGTAGTTGCTAATTAAATATAAGGGCTTGAAAAGTATACCAAAGAAGCCCAAAAGTGCTGATCATGTGAAGTGGTTGCTTCATAGCGTACAGGGATGGGGGCCAGGGAAGTGATCTGATCAAACTTTCTGTAGTTATGGAGGCTGTCCTGCAGCTTGAAAGGAAAAATCATCCCCATGCTTCTAACAACAGAATTCTGGTACTTCTTGGTCCCAATAATGTGTGGCAATGCTTCACGCACTTTCATCCTAGGATCAAATCACCATCTCAAATGTACACCTCTATTTTTAATTCCATCTTGATTCTTCCATAGTACTAGAAACCATACCTTAAGCTTGTGAAACTTATTCACATGCTATTTTAGATTCATGCGATTCTCTTCAATTATGAAATCTTGTTAAGACTCCCTAACGAGATCACTGGAACATTTAAAGGTAAGCATTTGGACGAGCAAAGAATCTAGATATGCTCATATGCACAAAGTCGCTTCCCATTCTAGAATGCCAAGTAGAATAGAAGAAGTTATAATTAAATAATCTATAGTTTCCGTGTTATTTAATCATCTTAACTACTATACGGAGTAGTATTTATTGTTATTTGTTATTCTTAAAGGAGTGTATTTTGGCTTGTCTTGTTTAGAGTTGTTTGATTTAGCAAGTAGTATTTGACTTACTTGTATGGGTGATGTCGATTTTAGAAAAATTGACAAATTCAGCTACTTATTCAAATAACCATTATCAAATAGAGCCTTGTTAGTCAACTAACCATTTTCAATTGGAGGCTAAGGGAGTGTTTGCGATTGCTTGTGCTTTTTAAAAGTGATTTTTTTAAGAGATTATTGGAAAAGTGATTTGTAGTAAAAGTTGGTAGTGTTTGGGAATAGAAGTGATTTTGATTAAAATGTAAAAGTTGGAGTGTTTGATAAAAAAGTGATTATGATGGAGTATTTTTTGTAAAAGTACAAAAATACCCTTTAAACTTTCAGACATAAGGTCGGTTGTACGAATACCCCACACAAATACCCCATTAGGTCGTTCGAGCTCTTGCAGCCGGCATTCCAGGTCTCCAGCGAAGGGTCTTTGTTCCCATTTTTTGACCTTCCTTCTCCAATCAGGTAATAATCTCTTCCTGAATATTATGGAAGGGAGGGCGATTCACTGCAGAACCGTGAGAAACGAGGATGGAACGAACAGATGGAGAAGACGAACGACCTCTGCTTCACTGCGTTGAAATGGCGCCGACATGGGAGAGAGGGGATGGAAGGAGTAGATGAACGAGCAGGGCTGGGTAGATGAAAGTAATTATTTCAGGGGTAATTTGGGGGTTAGGGGATTTATTTGCCATTATCATTAGCCTTAAAGTTGGAAGTATTTACAACTTTACCTAGAAGCTATTAAAAGCTGGGCTGGGGTAGCTTCCAGATTATGGCTTTAAAGTACTTTTTTTAAGTCAAAATTGGGGTTACCAAACACTCAAAATTGCTTTTTTTAATCTAAAAGCTCTAAAGTGCTTTTTTTGAGCAAACAAAAACACTCCCTAAGTCAGGACAATGGATTGCTCTCCATGTCTCAATGCAAGGAGTAAACATGGTATTAAGACTCAGGGTTCCATCCTAAAAGGTCAAGCTGATAGGAGGAATAGCCCATGTGTTAATATAGCATTTTGTTTATCCAAACTTTTCTGATGTGGGACATTTAACACATGGAGATGAATGTAAAGTCTAAATATCTAACATTTTTGCAGGGCAAAAGCAAGTGGTATAGTCAAAGACAACATGAAATCTCAATGCTTCAATCTTAGGTGAGCCTTAGTATCACTAGTACCGACCTCTACCTATATCTCAACCATCTATGGAG